ATGAGCATTAGAAGTGTTTTGTAGCCCTGGGACCTAATATCATTGTTAAATATTTACATTAGGTATTGTTTTGCCCTTTGGACAGATGCAAATTTGTGTGGCGTAGTAATTTTAATCAATGACGTTGTTAATGTTATTCATTGATGTCATTGTATCAAAAAGACGCTCTCCATTGTCAACAATCATGTTGGTAGTCCCAAACGTTGAAATAGGCCCTACTTATTTTAATAGTAAAGTATTTTTGTATCAAAATTAGAATGTCTTGAAAACTTAAACAAGCAATAAACTAATACCCTATGACGATTATGGTCGTATATCAGGACAATTAATCAAAAATGCGCTGATGTGCATTTATTCAATTTTCCATCTAACCTTTGTCCTGATATATGACCATAACCCTCATAGGGAACCAGTTTACTGCTGATATATATATTAAAAATGTATTCAGGAAACCACTATAAACTTTTCAGTAAACCACCACCAGAAGACCGGTTGTTAGAATTACAGATTAAAGAAGCTTTAGCAGCATCATTAAAAGAATCTGGTGGTAATGACAATGATAAATCAGTTTTTAATGATGTTGATGATGATAATTGTTTTCTTGTTAATGATAAACTAACATCAACACAAAAAGATCCAGAAAAAGGTAAGTGAAATAAGTTTTATCAATCCATTCACAAAAACATTGTGAACATCAGCAGATATATTGTGATTGTTCAACTTCGTGTATACTTTTTATCTGAGCTTAAAAGGTTGAATGTTTCTTAATCTTACTTGTTTTGTTTTTGGAGTAAGTTTTAGTTTCTATCTTCAGTCTAGTGTCTGTTGTTCTGGTTAATCAAGAAAGACTGACCACTGAACATTTCTTTGTTCAAAATCACAAAATATATTTTGGGGAAAAAACACAATGTTGTGTATTCACTGATTGTCATGAAAATGATAATCAGATTTCATTCACAAAATAAAAGTTGCTCATTTTACTATCTGAATGCAACAGTTAAAGTGGGGCATGGCTTATCTAATCTACAAGGTAATAAAGTAAAGAATGATGATGAAATAGAAGTGATATCTACAATGATTATTATATTGTAGATAGTAAAGTGAAGCATGATGATGAAATAGAAGTGATATCTACCACTGTTTCTGATTCTCTTTTAATGTACAATGATTATTATATTTTAGATATTAAAATGAAGAATGATGATGAAATAGAAGTGATATCTACCACTGTTTCTGATTCTTCTCTGATCTACAATGATTATTATATTTTAGATATTAAAATGAAGAATGATAATGAAATAGAAGTGATATCTACCACTGTTTCTGATTTTTCTGATCTACAATATTTATTTTATTGTAGATAGTAAAGTGAAGAATGGAGATGAAATAGAAGTGATATCTCTACCACTGTTTCTGATTCTCTTCTAATGTACAATGATTATTATATTGTAGATATTAAAGTCAAGAATGATGATGAAATAGAAGTGATATCTACCACTGTTTCTGATTCTCCTCTGATCTACAATGATTATTTTATTGTAGATACTAAAGTGAAGAATGGAGATGAAATAGAAGTGATATCTTCTACCACTGTTTCTGATTCTCTTCTGATGTACAATGATTATTATATTTTAGATAGTAAAGTCAAGAATGGAGATGAAATAGAAGTGATATCTACCACTGTTTCTGATTCTCCACCTCGAAAACGACAGAAAACGTCTAAATATAACTGTATAGATTCTGATTCAGATAATGACAAAGGTATAGTATATTTGATATTATGATCAATAGCTCAGAAGATATTTTACCTTTTAGAATAGGATATTTTCATCATTCATTATCCCCCTCTCCCTTTTCTCTAAAAATCCTAACTATTTCTCGATTTACTCTTAGGTTTTGCCAATTTTTTTATGGCCAAGCATATGGCTTATCTAAATGAAGTTAATTTAAATGTCCAAAAATTTTATGCTACACTGCAGTTGTAATATTGCTAATCGTTGTAGGAGATCTACATTAGTCCAGAAGTAACTATTAGGGGGGTAGCCTTCAACATGTAATAGTCAAATAGGGGTAATCACGGGTGGTAACCTTCATCATGTAATAGTCAAATAGGGGTAATCACGGGTGGTAACCTTCAACATGTAATAGTCAAATAGGGGTAATCACGGGTGGTAACCTTCAACATGTAATAGTCAAATAGGGGTAATCACGGGTGGTAACCTTCAACATGTAATAGTCAAATAGGGGTAATCACGGGTGGTAACCTTCATCATGTAATAGTCAAATAGGGGTAATCACGGGTGGTAACCTTCAACATGTAATAGTCAAATAGGGGTAATCACGGGTGGTAACCTTCAACATGTAATAGTCAAATAGGGGTAATCACGGGTGGTAACCTTCAACATGTAATAGTCAAATAGGGGTAATCACGGGTGGTAACCTTCAACATGTAATAGTCAAATAGGGGTAATCACAGGTGGTAACCTTCAACATGTAATAGTCAAATAGGGGTAATCACGGGTGGTAACCTTCAACATGTAATAGTCAAATAGGGGTAATCTTGGGTGGTAGCCTTTAACATGTAATAGTCAAAAAGGGGTAATCACGGGTGGTAACCTTCAACATGTAATAGTCAAATAGGGGTAATCTTGGGTGGTAGCCTTTAACATGTAATAGTCAAAAAGGGGTAATCACGGGTGGTAACCTTCAACATGTAATAGTCAAATAGGGGTAATCTTGGGTGGTAACCTTTAATCTGTAATCACTTTTAAATTAAAATCAGTGTGGTGTTTTTATGTAAGTAATTAGAAACAGATGGAAGTATACAAAGGAGACCTATCCCATGTCCGCAGGGAAGGAGACACTGAGAGATTAAGGAACTATAGAGGTATAGAAAAGGAATCGGTCTGGCAATTAGGGTTAAGGAACAACAAGGGATCTTTTGACAAAAGAAATATTTCATATGTTGGCCATCTGGGGGAAGAGATAAATAGGAGTGTAGTTAAGGTTTAGGGTTTGTCATCTACCTACCTAGGTTTAGGGATTCAATTAATTTATTCTTTAGCTTGGGAGAGGATCGGATCGTTCTAATATTCTAAGAGTCTTGGGTATACTTCTTGGATTAGTGTAGATTAGCTGTTATCTCAATTGGAAAGTAAATTTATAGCCAAAAGAAGTCTGTATCCAGTCTCTTACAAACGACTATACAGTTTGTAAGAATAATCTACTTTGCAGTTTGCAAGTAGAACCCGACAAACAAGCCTGCCAACAAGTAGCTTGTCTACAGTCTATGGCGTGACAAAAGCAGCTAGTTGAAACAGTTCCGCAAATGATTCACTGCTGAATCAATAAACCAATTAATGAATAGCGATTATTATCGCAATAAATTGTATCGTCAGAGGAGTATCTTTTAGTGTATCAAGTGCAACTGCAGCTCTATAGACTTCAAAGCGCTTCATTACCCCCCGTTAATTTTAAAATTACTCCTTTTAGGATGATAAGATTTAAATTCTCAAACTTGGCCATATTATAATAAGCACATAACATTTACCTTTTCAGATTTTTTAACCTGGTCTCACCCTGTTAGTGATACCCATTTGGTGCTGACATGAAAATAGTTTCTAGTCATTGTCATTCAAATTAGGCAATCTCTGTTTGGATTTTTCATATTAAATATCCAATCTTAAGACTGTTAGGCTAGCTGTCTGAGCAAAATTTCCCACATTAGACACTACATCCCATTGTCTGTTTTTATTACATAAATAATGTCTTCTTTCATTTACCATAACAATTATTTTCAGATAGCACATATGGTGCAGAGAGTGATGCTTCAGATGATGATGACTTTGACCCAGATAATAATAATGATGATGATGATGATAACATTAATAAAAAATCACAAGTTAAAAAGAAAAATAATCAAACTAAAACTGTTACAAATGGTATTGAAAGATCTAGTTCTGATTATTTGCTTTATCTAAAACTTTTAACACTTTTATGAGAGTGGAATTTCACTTTGTACGTAGAGTGAGTTTAACTGCTTGATGCAGGTCATAAAGGCTGAAATGGACACATCCAGTGGTTTGGATGGGGAAAGAATGCCTGAGACCATGTGATGTGACAGTGCACTGTAAAGATATTTTGACAGCACAAATCTCATTAATTTTCATGAGCCATTATTTTGCGCAAATCAGGAAAATAAATATTTGAAAATCTTGCAACTATTTTCAGTGAGCAAGACACCTGTATTAAAATCAACTGTGAAGACACCAAAAGTAACGAAATCTGTCAGTAAACTAAAACCCAAGCTACCTTCAACACCAAAAGTGACTATAAACACTCCAGGTGTAGCATCTGTAGCATCTGGAACTATAACACCTAAATCTACACAGTTATCTAGAACACCTGGTTCACTCCCACGAAAAATACCATCCTGGACACCTCCAGGTAGATTTGATTATTAACATTGACTCTTTTGGCACATAGTTTCTAATGAATTCTCATTTGATGTTCAGAGATAACAGGCTTTTAAGTCCTGTTTTGCATATGTCTTTTGAAAAAGTTTTGGCTCAAAATGGTTTTCAAGAATGGAAATTGGTATTATTATCATTTGATTAATAGACCATTAATGCTGTACCATTATTATATCATATCAAATAGAAATATTTAAACAGAACCTGAAACATGTTATTACTCAGAGTTGTCTGAAGATCACGACATGACATGTTTCAGGTTCTGTTGTAATATTTCTATATTTTCTCTATAATTAATTTGTTGAGCACTAATTTAATAGTGAAAATATTTTGTCATTTTTTTTTTTTTGTTATATGTAGTTATTTATAGTATGTCATATATATTTATTTGACAGGTCCTGCTGGAAAACATAGTGGTGAAAGTATTAAATCTCCTGGTGGTATAAGAATTGGACTATCAAGACAGCAACGTGTTAAAACATTACATCCTTCATTAACTATACAACCTTAAAACTTGATATCCATATCTGATACAGATATTTATATTTTTTTATACGCCCGCATGAAATGGGGGGCCTATATTGGCATCACCCATATCTGTTCGTCAGTCCGTCGCTCCGTTCACAATTGCTGGTAAACACTCTAGGAGTCACAATTTTTGATGGATTTTGATGAATCTTTTCTGTGAGTATTTGTTATCACCCAAGGATGAATCCTATTAAAATTCAGAAGAATCTGGTAAGATCTAGAAAATCAGAAAAACTCTTAGTATGTGTTATTTTCCTTGTTCTTGAAAACAGTTCAAGTTTTGGTCTGTAAACTCTCTAGAAGGCCGAATTCTTGACAGATATTAACAAAATTTGTTAATATTATTCAGTAACCCCCCCAAAAGTTCAAAAGAAGTGTATGACTGAAAGTTGAATATTTCATACCGGTAATTGTTACTGTACTGCCAAATATTATTATTTAAAATCAAAGCTGCCAATAGGTGTATATAACCTTGCCTGACAAGCTATCTTTCAAAATGTGTTGAATCCAGACTGGCTATATCATAAATATACTGGTATAAAGACTGGTGGACAGTGTATTGTGAAAACATGAATAGTTTATTATATTTGAACTACTGTTTATTATGTTTATTTTTATGTATATCATTCATGTGTAGAAAACATTTTTATACGCCCACATTCATGTCAGCATATATTGTCGTTGCCATGTCTGTCGGTCTGTCGGTCAACATTTCTTGTGGGCACAATAGAGACAGTTTTCAAGACGGCGGTCAAGTTTGAATTTGATGAATTTTCCAGGAACGGTTTTTTGAGTTATTGCCCTTGACTCAGAAAAATCGCTTCTTAATTTTGTTGTGGGGACAAAATAAGCTTCAATTTTCAATGGATTTTGATCAAACTTGGGATTGATAAGATGGCTGTCAAGTTTGAATTTGACGATTTTTCCATGAACGGTTTTTGAGTTATTGCCCTTGCTTGACTTAATGTCCACATGGATTTAGTTCTAACACCACGTGGGGGGTGGTTTCGAAAAAAATATGTGCAGCTAAGATTTCGTTGAAATCGTTCAATGGATGGTCGGAGATAATTTAAGTTAGCTATCTTTGGTGTGGGAATAAACTTAAGTCCACGGTCTAAGATTGAATGCTGAAGGGGTGTGAGAATTTTGCGGCTCAAGTTAACTACAGTTTGGCCTAGCGGTGGCCTCTCAGTATTTTTATCCCCAGTAATTAGTTTAAAGACTTACTCGATGCTTGAAGCTGGTGTATCCAAAACAAATAAATGCTGTTTGCTGTTTCTGGAGACCAATGAAGGTTATCAACTGGTTCGAATTCTTCTTCGTAGGGTGGTAAGATTGTTGCGCTGTTGATACTGGACTCCATCATCATGTTGTTAAGAGTGCTGAGGTTCTGTTGTGCTTTCTTCTAGATTTTATTTGAAATGGGTATACATGTGAAGAGGATCTTGGAGTTTGGGAAGGTTTTGTTGGCTGTGGCGATTAATTTCTGGGCTTGGTTCAAGGAGGTCTTTGGTATCTGATCACGGTTGTTGAGGCCTACATGAAGAATAATGGTAGTAGGTTTGGGATCATGGTCGTATGATTCCAGGATTGACTGTATGTGATGGATTTGGGCACCGGGGTAAGAATGTATTTCGGTGTCTGAACTGGTTTTGGTAATTCGATTCAGGTTAGATGATCCAATTATTAAGGTAGATTTCTTTGGAGCAGGTAGCTTCCATAATGATTTGTCCTTGGTTTGGTGATAATACAGTTTGGTAGCGGATATAATGGTCGTCGACGGTGTGATTGGTACTGGTTTGGTAGTTGTTAGAATTGTAGCATTGGGAACGGACTGGGATCTGGTTCGAGGGGGGGAAGGTCTGGATACACGTCTCGACTTGGATGGAGACTGAGGGGTGGTTTGCTGGTCCAAAAACGCGCAGAAGGAAGAAAGGTTGGCGGATCCTGGATCACGTGGTGAAGATTCAGATGGTGTGGAAGGGGAAGACGAGTCTGAAAGTGAAAAGAGAAGGGGTGTGCCCTCTCTACGAGAGCGTTTACCTATGTCTGCTGGACTAGGAGTAGGTGAGCTTCGGGCTCGTTAAGAGGTTTGGTTCGGCAGCGTGATGGCTCTAGATGGTGCAGGTGTAGTGTCCATTTCAGTTGGTAGAGATATGGTTACTCTGGTTTTTGTTTCGTTGATTGTTTGGTAGAATTTGGAGATTACAGCTTGAGTGAGACGTTTCCCATAGGAGCGACGGGCCCAGGACAGGGCATGAGAAACGATGCGGTCGACGGCAGGTGATGATAAAGACTTGGTACGAATGGTGGTCAGCTTCTCTTGAAGTGCGGTTTGGTAATGGTCGATCAGGACCTGCGTAACCTTACAGAGCCATGTCCGATTGAGGGATCTAATATTCGCGTCGACAGCTAATGTTTTCATTGCTGGACGGATAAAACTATCCAACTCAGAGACTTTGCGTTTGAAGGTAAACGCTGGTTGGCCTTGCTGTTGAAGGGTAAGGATTGCCAAATGATGGAGGCACTGCAAAACTTGGAAGAACACCTTCACAAAGGGTTCTTCCTCCTTATGAGTGGGGACTGGTTGGCGTCGGTGGGCTGGTAGTCGTTTCTGTTGTTGGTCAGGTCGATGGTTACCTCTTGATTGGTAGGCTGTGTTGTAGGTAGGTCGGCGATGGGGTGGGATATAGCTGGATGGGTTGGTTGGTGGTCGGCGATTGGTAGGTGGTAGAGGTCGATGGAAGACAGGGCCGTTGTAGGGTACGTGATACCGGTTTGGTTGACGATTAGAGTTTCTATGTCTGGCTTCTTGCCAGTGGTTGTTGTAGTTGGGGAGCATAATGAAAATAACTTGAGGTTAGAAAGGGAATGTACAGCGGATGTAACAGGAGGAAACTGTATATGCTAGCGTGAAAATGTTGGGATCAAATTATGCAAATAAGTCAAACTGGGTTTGGGGATATATAAAGTAAGATGAAAAATGCAAAAATATATATGTAGGTGATAAATAACGCTAACAATGATGTGAAAAATTATAACAAGTAAAACAAAAACTGACACGAACCGGTTTTCGAAATATTATCCTTTTTCAAGTGTCGAGGAATGGTTATGTGTCAAAATGTGTTCGAGAACACAAAACAAGGAAGGGTTTTTAATCGATTTTGATAAAACAAAGTATGATCATTGACATTGACTAAGTTTTAAACAAGTTTGAATCTCACGATATTTCAATAAACGGGTCAAGGGTAATGACCCTTGACCTAGTAGGAGCTCTGAACGTTTTCGGTGTTCAATACCTTTAATTTGTTAAAACGTGTCAAAATCACAAGCACAATAGAAGCTAGAGTTTCACACGATTTTGATCCGACTTAATCAATTTAACTGATTAAATCTTTTACGAGTTCGAAATTGACGATTTTCATACGCCCACATGGAAACTTCCTTCCAACTTCAAACAAGAGAAACTTATTTCTTACGGACGTTTTGTTGCCTTGTCTGTCCTGTAGATTTAAGATTCTCGAAAAACGCCGATGTTCTTGACATCTTGCATTTAAAATCTTTTTGAGCAAATTTTTGTCAAAATCAAATCGGACCTATTAGGCCCATCGATTTAGTTTTATGAAGAGCACATAGAATGTGAAAATAATGTCAACCTCTATATGCAGACTTTTATTTGTATGATGGAATAGAAACGAAACGTTTAGGACTAGTGTTTCCCTGGAAACTTTTACAAATTGATATGGTGGAAAGTGATAAGAAGCAAGAATGGGCACAAGACCACGCTGATATTTTCATCATCTTTAATAATAATATAATACCGTTAACAATAATCACAGAATAAGATAGTTATGGGTGTTTTGACACCATATTTCTGATATAATTTCATCAAGGTCTAAAATATATTGTCATTTGTCTTCTTTGTCTTGTTAATAAAGACTAAGACCTAAAAATCGAGACAAAAGTTGTGCCAAAGTCTGTCCACAAATTTGTGATTGACAACGAAAGAATATTTAAAAATCACAACAACTATGTTATTTCCAATAATTTTAGTACTCTTATTCTTACTAACACTAACAATCAATTGATATGATTTCATTATTAAATTATAATTATTATTTATTTGTGGTCAGTAACAAAATAACGCAGCTTGCCCATGGATATGAGAGCAATATTGTTTCATAATAATCTCGATCCCTTACACGGCAATGGAAATTTTGTAACTTCAAGCCTGTCAGTCAATGGTCATTTACTATACGATTTGGGTTAGGCCGTAAAGTTTCCTTAATGTTCATGTAAGTTGGAGAAAATGGTTCATTACCTGCTACCACATGGGGTGTTAAATGGGAACAATCATGTTGATTAGAAAGATTTGTGTCAAGTTATCTGTTAAAAAAAAAACAGATTTCGTGTCACGGCTTGTTGCCCCCATTCCAAATTCTTGGTTACATCAGGAGTTCCAGATGGTGTTAAAAAAACAAACAGGTTGAAACTTTGGAAGCTTATAACCTGAATGATGCCTGTGTCGATGTGTTACCAACAGACTATGGAAAGCTATTTTCAGTTGTAACCCTGGCTTTGCAAAGCAGGACTTGATCAGGTATCCATTCCATTGTTATAGTGTTTCCGTTTTTAGAAAAGAAGTCTATTTCAGCCTATGATAGCTATTTGGACAGTTGTTGCTTGTAGAAGGATCAGAAAACCTCGGCCCTGTTTCATTGTGGTTTTCCGCACTTCCAAATGTGCGAAGCTTATACAGGGTCACCACCAGCATCAGGGTTTGGTAGATTCGAGGTAAATAATTATGTCCAAGAAACCTGCACCTTTGGACCTTTCATCAAAGCTATCAGAGACTGAAATCTAGGCAGATGTTTAGGACTAGTGTTTACATGAACCAAGTTCGTGTTTTGGTAACTAGGCCAGGCGAAAGTTTCGTATGGATTGAAACAAAAAGTAGTTGTCAAGTACAATGTAAAGTAGTTTCAATGTATATGAAAGTTCGCGGAAAGATCCGTCTTTACCCATTTTATCTGATTGAGAATGCGATTGTTGGCTACATTTATACACAACGCCATTCTATCCACACACAGAAATTCAATTCCAATACAAATATAATAGCTTTAACCAGCCCACATATAATTAAATTATAATACTGTTCTTATCTTGCTGTAGATACAATACAGTTACCGCCTAATTAGAATTTCAGCTTGAAGCCGCCACTAAAACTTTTATTTAACTTGTTCCATAGTTTGATGTCGAATCTTGAACTTTTTCTGTACTGTAAGGTTTTGATTCTAATGGATCCATGTTGTGAAGTAAAACAATATTTTCATCTGGATTTGACCAACTTTGACGTTGACCTAAAAAAAAAGAAGATAATTATTATGTACAAAGGAAGGCCAGATAATGGTCTGGAAAAATAGGGTCGGTTTTATTGGGATTATCAATACCCATTAGGACATAAACTTCACCAGAAGCCGTTTGGATTAATAATCAGTGATAGTATAACAGAATTATACTGCTCTTCTTATGCTATAGGCAGACGTATTTTTTCGCTCCGATCACGTCGATTAAAATTGCCAGCGATCACAAAGGGGGCAAATTTTATGAAAGCGTGTCACTCGAGGGTTTTTCTGTAGATCATGTAATCAAATCATGGTACAAAATGGCGCATGATATTAACGTCAAATCGCACGGATTTGCATAAAGTATAGATTTTTAAATTCACCGCGATCGGGACATAATATGCTAGTCTGCTCAAAGCATTAATTATTTTTTTTTCATTCCTTGGAACCGTACCACAAAGTATAACATCGGTGTTCTCTTTATATACGAAATGATTGTTATGACCCCCGTACACATAGATTTGATCAATGTAATGTAAGTTTCTAATACATGTAAGGTTTTCAACCCTTTTCTTTCTGGGTTTTCAATCTTTTTCTTTCTATTACTCATTCCAGGATCCATAACTGATAGCATTACACCCCTTCACCCGATAAATCTTAACTACATTTTATTTTCTCTTAGAATTTCCCTGCAATCTTTTTCATGTCGGAGACAGACTTAATAGAACGACTTAAATGATAATTGTCCATAAATTTTATGCTGCCTACAAAACGCCTCATTAACCCTCAGAATTTAAAAAAAAAATATCTCCCACACTGAAATTCCCTGATGAAAGCTATCGACGACTACGAGGTTATTCTTGAATCAACATGGACGAGGTTTTGTGATATCAAAGATGTTAAGAATATGCAATATCATGCAAACATAGAAACGATGATAACATCCAATAATGTTCTATGTTCTCCCAAGTCTTAAGAACAAAAATATTATGATGACCTTTCATTTCTCCAACCGCATTTATGTATAAGAGGAAAGTCACGTTCGATGTCTGTACTTCTGTACTCAATTATGGAAATGAATTTGCATGTTTTGCAAACTCTACATAGTAGGAGAGTTGTCTAACGATTGTTGACACCGAGAAATTAGTATTGATCAAAATAAAGTGAAATAATTACCTGAACCAAATATAAGATACGACATAACAGCAAATCCTAATACACCACATGTTATATAAAATACTATATTCCACGAATGTATATTCTGAAATTAATTAAAAAAAACAACTTAAAAAGCTGGTTTCAAAATAAAAGTTAAATTTATTATTTTCTGCTCTGTATACCCGATTGAGTGTGGATTATTATCTTCATAAATGCTGGATGACTTACACAACTGTTTACTGACATAATATATTTATACTTGACTTGTATGCTTACACGGTTGGCTATTGGCTTGTATAGTTAATTGACTATTTACTTGTATACTTCATGAAAGTTTATTGACTTGTGTATATTTACACAATTGTTTACTCCATCTATACATACAATAATTATTACGGACTTGTATTTTACACCGTCGGTTACTGACTGTTTTCGACATCGGCTACTGCTTGTTTACTTACACAATTTGTTAATAATTGTATACGTTGGTTATTGACTTGTATACTTACATACTAATTGGCTATTGACTTGTATACTTTCACGATTTGTTAATGACTTGTATACTTACATAATAATTGGCTATTGACTTGTATACTTTCGCGATTTGTTAATGACTTGTATACTTGCATAATAATTGGCTATTGACTTGTATACTTGCACGATTTGTTAATGACTTGTATATTTACACGACTGACTTGAAGGGGATAGATGTTCTTGGATGTTTGACTACAGACAAATACTATCAACATAATGTATACTTCTTCACAATTGACAACAAAAATACATACTTACATGACTAACTGTGATATACCCAGTTATCAATGGGGCCATAATAGATCCAATAGACCCCACTGTTGATGTTATACCAACTAGAAAACTAGCATGTCTTGGTGATAAATCATAATGGTTAATTTGCCAGCCTAAATAATAGAAATGATTGATTTCAATTTCCATAAAGTCTTGTCATTTAAAGCTAAGTAAGCTATCAGAAGTTATTAAAGTCACCCACGGTGCAAGTACAACAAGTGCAACAGGCAGTTCTCAAAGATATTTTCTCTTACACAGGGAATAACTCCAGATTTTATTTTAGCGTCAGTTGATCGCAAACATTAGGTAACTATTCTTGTTAAAGAACTTTAAGCAACCTACCAGAAACAGGAAATCCTGTAAAACCAACAGCTATAGTTAAAAACACCATTGCTGAAGTACCGTTTGTCATGAAGGTCAACAGAAAAAATCCCAAACAGGACGTACCAAAACCTTAAATGAGAAAAAGCATTGATTGCAAATCAAATTAATTTTGATTTTGAGAAGTTTTCACCAAATCAATTGCATGAAAATTGTCACGCAGATACAAGTACGCGGGTGTATGAAAATAGATTGAAAACAAAAGGACCATTTTCAATATTTGATTTGAAGGGTGATAAGTTTTTAATATCCAAATCCATAGATATCTTATAATGCACTTTATAATGATATCTATGTCCAAATCATTGATGTTCAAAATGGACCCATAAGTCCGTTTTCTCTAAAAGCCCAATGTACTTACCTATGGTTGTAAGTAATTTACGTACATAAGCTGTAGATAAAAAATTTTCCAGTAACAGAAAGTCAGCAATATAACCACTACTTGCCGCTGCTAATACTTTTACTATATGAGGTATAGAGGCATATAAACCATTCTGAAATATAAACAAATGCAAATATACATAATTGTAACTATTTGGACACGATGGCAGCTTTGATTTCAAGCCAAACTGACTTGTGTGCTCTTAGCAGCAATGTTTCGTAATGAAGCTTGCTGCCATCAGTCGTGAAAAGGCTGTTCTGTATGGCAGTCTACAAGAGTAATTTTTGTTTAACTAGAAAAGTTTGGTTATTTTAAGAGCCAGCGAAGCTTTCTGTCATATTTACTTTCATCACTGATTCAGAGCGCCAGCGCCTTTCCAAACTTTTGATGCCTTTCAATAACTTAACTACTCACCTCTGCTACAGTAAAATTAAATAAACTTAGATAAAATGGCTCATTTGTTAACATCAAGATAAACACCCAGTTTCGAGCAAAATCACAGATACACAATGTTATCACAGGCAAGCTTGTAAATATGGCTTTTACAGGAACTTTTTGATCCTGAAAATGTAATAGAAACTATTGAAATTATAAATCATAATAAATTGAAATCGTTACAACAGTAGCTTAAAATGTAATAGAAACTATTGAAATTATAAATCATAATAAATTGAAATCGTTACAACAGTAGCTTAAAATGTAATAGAAACTATTGAAATTATAAATCATAATAAATTGAAATCGTTACAACAGTAGCTTAAAATGTAATAGATACTATTGAAATTATAAATCATAATAAATTGAAATCGTTACAACAGTAGCTTAAAATGTAATAGAAACTATTGAAATTATAAATCATAATAAATTGAAATCGTTACAACAGTAGCTTAAAATGTAATAGAAACTATTGAAATTATAAATCATAATAAATTGAAATCGTTACAACAGTAGCTTAAAATGTAATAGAAACTATTGAAAGTATAAATCATAATAAATTGAAATCGTTACAACAGTAGCTTAAAATGTAATAGAAACTATTGAAATTATAGATCATACTAATTTGAAATCGTTACAACAGTAGCTTCAGTTTTAAACTATGAATTATTATTTATAATATAAACATTTCGAATTTTAAAAACATTGATAAAAGATTTTCCCATATATTATAACGCCCATTGAAATTTCCTTTTTTGATTTCGTTTATCTATCGAAGTTTGATATTCGTTCAGAAAACTAATTTAAAAAATACGTTGAATGCTGTACGGACACAGGCCATGTAAAACTGTGATATTTGCATTATTCAATGCTCAAAAACATAGCAAAAAGAACGAATATAAATCATTACCAACTGTGCTGCATTAAATTGTGTGGAATTGGCTCAGTTAACATGACGAAAAAGATGGGTTATATCATAATTCCAGACAATTCTCCAATATTTTAATCAATATCTATATCAATTTCCTCTATTCCACATATCTTATAATAATTATGCTTTACATGAAAATCCACGAATATTAGAAATGTTATCACTATACCTTTAAATCATGTACGTCAGATCCATTTTCTTTATGAAAAAATTCAAGTTCCTTTTCACTTATGAAATGGTGAGTTTCTGGTTGATTTGAAGCTAAACACACCCATAGTAACACAAACAAAACACCCAGGCCACCTGTGTACATAAAACAGCAATATCATGCAATAATAATAGGCAATGAAACTACATTTATCGAAATCTAATCAATCTGAAATCACTTTTAAGCTAATTTTATCACCGCCGAACTATACATGCCTCATGCATTATTTGACAAAAAAAGAAATTTTGTTTGAAAAATCAAAAAGGAATATGATATCCGCTAGATATTTCTGTTTTTTGTTGTGTTCAATAAAGGAGGTTAAAATGTAAAAAAGAATATACAACATTTTTTTCCTTAAATTCTGTGCATGTTGTGTAAATATGTCTTTTTAAGCCTACTTTCCATGCTTGATTTGATCAAAACTATATACATAAATAACATTGTCAACATACCATTGAGATAAAAGACATATTGCCACCCAACATAATACGTTATGACACCGGCTAGAGGAAATCCCACAACAGCACCAGCATAAGCACCTACAGACAAATAACAAATAATTACTTCACATGTTGATGTGTTTGGACAATGTGTTAGGCTATTCCTACCCTTACAAACTAACTGATCAACAGAGTAATTAAAACTGCAAAATATTTGATTTAGTCCAAACAATTTCATTCAAGTCCTCTCCAGCAATAATGTAATGGTGTTTAAGTTTATTACATGTCTTACATTTCTGTTTGCTTCCCATTCATACATATTTCTTTGAAGATTAAGTCATAATGTCGTAAGTCATCAATTAACATACCTTCTAATTTGTTTAGACTAAAGATAATTTTTAATATCAGAAATTCTTTTTCCTCAGCAGTGGTGACTCAGTGATGCCGGTCGGAGGAGATGACATGATTAAGCGTTTGTTAGGATGGAACAATAAACAGGGCACCCGTGTACAACAGGCTGTCTACGTTAAAGTTGGTTCAACAGTTAGAAATCGACAAAAGAGCAAAATTCTCCTCACTGCACATTGTATGGCGTTGCCCATCTTCATTAAATGCAGAATAGTAGATTTATCCATTTGGTTAACATTCCAATATCAATCTTACATATTAATGTAGATGGGAATAATTCTTGTATTTTTAACATTTGCTTGTAACTTTTTTGAAAACGGTCATATTTTCAAAATATTTTACCAAAAGATTTACTTTTAATTTATAAAAATATAAAATTGTTTTTAAACTACGTAATCGACACATTCGTAGAGAAACTTAAGTTCACAACCATTAAGCTGATAACCCACCTGCTAAAACAGCCGAACCAGCTCTGCCTCGCTCAGATGGTGTTGACCAATGTCTTAATATACCATAACAAGCAGGATAAATAAAACCCTGAAAAATTGTGATATGGCGTCAATAAAAAAAAAACGCATTTTGAACACATTTTGCCGAATTCTGAAGGTATAATGTTACAAAATGTCAGCGGCAGCTTTACCCTAATAATAGAATTAAAAAATAAAACCGAAATGCAGAAATCTGAATGTCTGGATCAATGTGCGAGATGATAATTATTATCAGTAATGAAATTATCATCGTTGAAGCACTCAACATAGAACTTCACAATATGAAAGACAAGCTTTAGATGAATATGATAATGAAAACAATACTTTTACTTACTTCAACAAGACCTTGAGTAAAACGCACACTACAGGTTACCCAATACAAATCAGAATTAATACAAAACGGTAATAGTAGGTTTAATAAACATGATAAAAATATGCTGCCACCAAATACTCTACAAAATTCAAACATAAGATGTTAACTTTATACAAAGAAGATTAGTCTTTAGTACGAGGCTGTTGATAATTGACACTGATATGAGTGGATTGTTGATAAGTGTCGAATTAGACTTTTTCAATATTTGGATTAATCTCTATACGCACTGAAATATACCAATAAAAAAAGCTGAAAGTTACTTTGAAAAAATTATTTATACCTTAGACAAGTTGAGCATAATTCATGTAACGATAGTTTAGTTATTGCTTTTGTCAGCTCAAAACACGTTAAAAGCTGTATAGATGTAGAAAATTATTGAAATCAAAGACAAGGTTAAATTTATTTTTTAAATATCGTCACAAAATGGTTTTTCTCTGCTGTAGTGGGCGTGTATTACTATCCATACACCTACAATCTAATATATTCAGATCGATTCTATTCTTAACCTCCATATTACATAACAAATCGAAGTTTTCGAACTGCATTAATTTTGTTTGTCATTGCACAAGGAGTTAGCCTCATTTTTGTTATCCTTTGATAACCCCCACCCCCATTTTTTGCTTCCCAAGAAATAGACTCTTTTATGAATTTGAATATTTATCTTGTATGATATATGTGATCGATACGTACATGTATGATGGGAATATTGTTGTTAGGTATCCAGCCGGAATATGTGTCAACAAATAACCAACATAGAAACTGCTGTGTAAATAACCTATTAATATCGAATCCCAATCAACATCTGGTAACTGAAATAAAAGGGAAATAAGGCGTGTCATGTTATATAATATTGGATATTGAACCATAGTGAAAACATTCCATACCAGTGTACAGTGACTCAACTTGATGATTGTGGGCCTGTGGACCGAAGTGGTTTGGGTACCCTCCCTCCTTTAACATATGATTTTCCGCTTTCTGAGACCCCTCTGTAAGTCAATTTAATGCCTGTTAATGGAAGATTTAAAGATTTTCAGTCAAGTTAATTCTATTTCTGGAGGTGGATGCCCAGTCTCTAAGCTAGTTAACCAAATCTTACTATCTGCAGTGTAAAATTCTGATACTTTTGAATACGACCGACATCACTTATGATCTGCTGGTAATCCCACTGAATTCGCAGAAGGGCGTTTCATTGCTGCTACCCTGGAATGGGCTAAAGTGCCCTTGAATGTTACAAGTTAAACAAGTTTTAAAAACATCTCAAAACTAACCTGATCAAAATCTATAAATTAAGGTGATATCAGTCCTGTTTTCACATATCTTATTATTTTATATTTAAAAGTTTGTATATTTTTAAGTATTATTTATTGTAAGCGATACTGACTTGATATTTCAGTGCTATATAAAGATGATCATTATATTTTAAAACCAGGACATGTACTATGTATAAAGAAAAAATTATTTTGAAAAAGAATCTGATCTTATCTATTTTATTTCAATTCAATCTCTGATATTGTAATATGTAGCTGATAAATATCATTTTTATACAGTTAATTAGGTGTGACTATCGTCATTTACGTTCTATTACATTTTTAAAACGTACTTCTCATAACCTTTTACTTCCTGCAATTTAACAAATATCAAATTAATTGTGTAGTTTATTGTGCCAGTTTATTAAATAACTTACATTTGCGTTCCATTCAGCTCCCTTATTTATGAAAGTAGTTTCTGTCTCGTGTAATATAGTAATGACTATAAATCCTACATTGCATCTAAGAGAATGAACTATGATCATTGCAATAGTGACCAATGTAATAATAATAACTCGCACATGTCTTATCCTATTTTTCCTCCCTTGTTCCATTCTGACATCTAATGGGAGTAATGATAAGTTATTTGGAGCATATGCCTACCATGAAATTATGAAATTTCATCTTTTAGTTTATGATTAATAATGTAATATAGTGGTTTATAATTAAAATAGCAAAACAATATTGGAAATTTCGAATTTTTTGTTTTATTGCTTTCAACTACTCACTATCATAAGTCATCAAGGAAGCTTGACCAATGTGCTTTGGTTTGATTAAAATATTTTTTGTAGTTTTTATACTAAGTATATGAGCACTATGCGACATAAAAAATCATTTTAATGAAAGTTACTTTGTGAAATATATACCTACCATAATAGCAAAATAAGCGTATTATATAATACTGACGTTAATTTATGAAATCAGTTATGTATGGTTACAATACAAATCAATGCATACATATGAATATATCTTAACACTAGTAATTTCACCTATGCATTAATTATATTCTATTCTGCCATATTGGCCCGTTAGCAACAAAAGATAGCTTTGCGAAGGTGACATACGCCCACCAGCAACTTTGATTGCAAGTACAAATCATTGTTTGTAGCCTGTACGGTGAGCATAAGCCAATTGTGAACAGACTGGCGGTTGACAATATGCTTATAAAAATCAAAAGAATCCATAAAGAATTGTAGCCTGTAGAGTGAGCACGAGATGCACAATATAGATAATAGAGTGAAAACGCTAAGTCGTACACGGTATTTCAGGGAAAAATTATCAGATCATCATGTAAATCGACAGAGATCATTGACCCACAAAATAAAAATAAAAGAATCCACAAAGAAATGTTGCCTGTAGAGTGAGCAAGGGTTGTCCATTATAGCAAGTAGTGAAAACGCTAAGTCGCTGAAGTCGCTATTTCGGTGAAAAATTATCAGATCATCTCGAAAATCGATAGGGAACATTTTCATAATGACATTGACCTACAAAATAAAAATCAAAAGAATCTGTAAAGAATTGTAGCCTGCAGAGTGAGCACGAGCCATTATGCGAACGGATTTACGGACCGCCGGGTAGATTACAAAATACACACAAAATATATTTTGGGGCGTATAATAAAATTAAACCTTATATACGTTTATTTCAATGTAATTAGAGATAATTACACTTTTTGTATGCACCAACACACGCTGTGCCAAAATGATATATTGACTATATAAAGAGTGTAAAAACTTTGTCATCAAGATTTCTTTTTTAGACGTTTTCGTCACTGTTGTGTTCGGTGTTGTTTGTTATAAATTTGTAACCCTAGGGGTGAATTCAAAATCCTCAGTGTCGAAATTTGAAAAGTGAGGGAATTGTGGATGAAATATACATTAAGGGGAGATAGGCCTTTAGTATCTATGAAAGAAGTTTCTGTCTTAGAAAAACGACGTAAAACTCCATTTATTTCATTTCATTTATTGTCTTAGAGAATGAACTATGATCATAGCAAAAGTTGTAATAATAACTTGCACATATTTAATCCTGTTATTCCTTCCTTGCCTCATTCGGACACCTTATGGAAGTCATGATCAGTTATCTAAAACATACGCCTACCATGCAAGAATGAAATTTCATCTTTAAGTTAATGACAAAAAATTTTTTTTTATTAAATATATTTTATATTAATAATGTAATATTGTGGTATATTATTATAAAAAATGCAATATTGGAAATTTGGACTTAGTACTAGATCAGGTGTTTTCAACCTGGTTCTTTCAGGATCGATCGATTGAATCCCCCCTTCTTTTTTCAAGTTGGACAATATAGTCTTACTTAAAAAATCAACAAGTTATCATTGTCCAAATAATTTATGCGCTTTATTAACCCCCAAAAATTTCAAAATTACATGTAATTAATCCCTGGTTTGAAACCCCTGTACTAGATATCATCATGATGGCTCACTACCATAATTCATCAAGGAAGCTTGTTCAAAGTGCTGTGCTTTGTTTTGATTTTTAACATATTTTTTGTTGTTTATAAACACGGATTATTAGCATTATGTGACAAACAGATGTTGGCGGGAAAAAAATTATTTTAATGGCAACAGCTATATTTAATATTGTGTAATATATATCGATCTTCGTCATAATGGCTATCGTTCTTTCTATAACTTTCAAAACCTGATAACTTACTGGTGAACGCTTAGTGTATGATAAGACTTGCGGTTGATTTTCATCCATTTCGTTCGTTAGGTGTAAGAGTACATAAAATCAGTTATTCCTGCTTGCAATTTAAATCTTTAGAAATGGGGGCGTATATTGTCGTCACCCATGTCGGCCCGTCCGTCCACAATTGCTCGTAAACACTTCAGAGGACACAATTCTTGACAGATTTAGATGAAACTTGGTATGAGTGTTAGTAATCACCCAAGGATGAACTCTATTGAAAATCAGAAAAATCGAAATATATTTAGTATGAGTTATTGCCCTTGTTCTTGAAATGCTCGTAACCACTCTAGAAGGTTCAATTCTTGACGGATTTTGATGAAACTTGGTGTAAGTGTTTTCTATCACCCATTTTACTCGAATTGGGCTAATGTATCTATTGACATTTTATTTATTACTAATTTTACCCCGTCTACCAGTCGACCGTCATTTCAAAACTTATACAAAAGTGCTTTTCAGTGAAGAAGAACAAATTACTTATACAACCCAAGCAAAGGTTCTACAGTGAGAGTGAAAATAAATGGGTATTAAAATCAGTACACTTAGATTTCTGTGACGAGAAATCGTTGTATCGAATAATTCCTTTTGTATCTAACCAACAAAGCTAAGCAGAAAGACGCAGCGAATTAAGGAGAAATACCAGCAAGAACCAAAGATGAGAATAATACCCCTTTCGCACTTTCGAATTATTGAATTCGGTTATAATTGAATTCGGTTATAATTGAATAGAAAAATCCGATTCAGTTCGATTCAATTCGGTTCGGGTTGCTTTCGCTCTGCAATCCTATCTGGATAGCCGCTTTCGCACTGCCGAGTCAAGTTATCTAGATAACTTTTTATTTTTAGTAACACATCATGTCACGTGACAAAAAATATGAAAATAAAAACAAAAGCATTTTCTGTTTCCTCTTCCGATATATATTCAATTCGTGTACTTTTTTTAATCCTTTTCTTGTGATCGTCAAATATCATTATAACGTCCCCGCCAACAGGAGCCATTTTGAAGTGTTTATACACGTGACACCCTACGTGATAAACTCTTCCGGATAACTTCTTGTTTGGTTTCGCACTGCCACTTATCTGAATCGTATCCAGACGAAATCCACCTCTTAAGGTAGATTTTTCTATCTGGATAACTTTTGGTTATAACCGAATAAGTTTTTTTGCCAGTGCGAAAGCAGTCGGAAGTTATTCGGATAGAACTGGTTAGAACCAAATTACTTTTGCAGTGCGAAAGGGGTATAAGCCAGCAAAACTACATAACGTCTGTCCGAACATGGAATATTCTTGCTCTCCGAGGTCTGAACCTTTACTTGTTTCAATGTAATCAGCAAGGCGCTAATCGTAACATAAAACTATTCACGAGCGAGAACAAAATTTCCTTGATGTCAAGCTTTATTACCTGGAAGAGGAACACCAAGTTCGGACTTATATCCATATTATTTCTATTTCATTTCCCTCCCACGTTTCACCCTTTTTGGGGGTCTTAATTGTTGTATTTAATTGATTTATTTTTTCTGCGGCTTTTCGTAGCAATTCGAGTGAATTTTGTGTCGACTTCTGTTGTAACGTGTCTCTCTTTATCCTCCGATCTGAATCTCTACTTATGGATCAAAGAATGTCAGAAACTGACTAAAATATTATTTTTACTTCGTAACAGATTGAAAGTAGGAAACATGATGAAAAAGTTTTCTAATCTGTCCAACCGTTTGGATAATTGGGAGAATAACACTTCGACAGATGGTCATGATCGTGATAGTAAACCTCAAACTTCCGAGTTTCCACACTTATGAGTACTTATTCAAGCTGTTGATTGAAAATCAGTAAAGGACACCTTCTATCAAAGAACCTTTCCACAAGTGAGAACAAAGTTTTATTTATACTATTACTTTCATAAGAGTTTTCAACTAGTTATGACTCAACGGTGGTCGCAGGTACCCGACCTTTTCGATAGACGACATGAGATTGACACAAAAATAATCGGATACTCTCAGGGGCCAAAATAATGCTTGGTGATATTTGGGTATACATATGCTTAAATTGTCTTATGTATATATTTGCAAGTAGGTTCCATGGAATAACTAAATTTCTGGTAGAGATTTTTTAAATTCAATATTATTATTTTTTTGGTATACGTACCAATACATAAAACCCTCCTTCTTCTAAATAACAATGTACACAAAATATCCAATTGATAAATATATGGTGGAGTTCTGTTATTGTAGAATTGTGACATCCTATTATTGCATCTGTTTACGTCTGATAAACCATGCAAAACGACAGAAAAATCAAAACCAAAAATATATTTTTGAAATATATAAATATTGTCAACATTTCAAGTGTTCATTTAATGTGACGTGAAAGTTTCTTGAAAGTTATTCACTACAAGTTTGTATTATAATTAACATAGACATTAATGAATATTTTCAGATGATCGCCTATCAAGTTAAAACAGCAAATCGAATGGTATTAAAGATTAAATCAAATTAACACTACTGTCATTTACCATATGAATACAATTTGTGAAGACAATGTGCAAGATTTCAAAATATACGATTTAGTTGAATATTTTACATCTGTGTGCTACACTAATCAATATTAAACCACCTGGTGAAATATAATTAGACACTACAATCAATAACATTGAATTCCATGTATACTTTCTATTATGTGATCTACATACAAATTTTAACACAGATTTTGTTACAGTACGATTTTTTAATAATCATGCATCAATGGCTTTATTTACATGTATTGTGATATTTAATCATCGAAATGCGATTGTTAACTTTAACTATTCAAATCAATGAGAAAACTATTCAGCCATTTTAGATAATCAAATTATTTTTCTCCCCATATTTCATCTTATTAAATTACAATATTAGGCCTAAATGAATGAAAATCCGTATAAGCAAGCCAATTCTATTCATCAAAATCGAGAGTAAAAAATATTTAGTAATGTACTCCTCCAAAAAGAAGTGCA